TTGGCTGGAACCAGCAGAGGCTCTTGATTCGGTCTCAATTTGGTCAGTGAACTCGACTTCCAATGCTGAGGCGCATTTGTTCCATTAAAAAAAAAACAGGTCAGCAGCCGTGAAAAGTTGAGCGACATTCTCCGCTCTGGTGAAAAAAAAAAAAAAAACATGAGTTTTGAATTTTTAGGCATGGATGCATTCATCTCAAAAACATTGAAGCAATCAACAGAGCATTAATATTTAATGTCGCTCAAGGACATTTTGTTGAATGCCCAGCCCAAATATGAATTTGTGTGTGTTTCGTCTTCACACAATAAACCCAAAGGTCAAATTTGGTGTATTTTGTGACCTTGCAGATTCGGTTGTCAAAGTACCTTCCTCATCTGCATGTCTTTGTTTTGGGCACCAATTGAAACGGCAGAAAAGCACCATTGAGTCTCCACTCGCTTGTGCGGTCACAGTTTTGTTCTCTTTTGACACTGCCGTGTTTATTTGCCATAAAAGAGTCCTTGAAGAGGGGAAGAAAGAGACTGAAGAGTGAGTGCGATGAATCTCTGCAATAGCCCCCCCACTGTTATCAACTGCCATTAAAACAGTGCACACAAAATGGAGGTTCGGCTCCAATCGCATTGATGTGTGTCCAGGTCCTATTGAAGGTGCACTCAAGTGTTTACAGTATGGAAACAGCTGCTTTGAGGCATGCCCACTTTCTGTTAATGAGCTAGCGTGCCCGACTGCTGAGTGCAGCTCTTCAGCAGCGTGCAATTAATCCGATGTTCCCTTCAAGAGACCAACGTTGAATGTAAAGTATCCACCATTGCCGTTTGATGGAGGGGGCAGTTGTTAGATCGTTACACTTTATGACAAGGGTAACAAAAAGAACATTAGCGACTTTAACTTATAGCAGAGTGGCATAGTCGAGAGAAGATTTCCCTGGGCGATGTCAACGTGCTGGTGAGCGGCTGATGGATTGACCTTGTCAGAGCACTCATACAAAATAATATCAACCTTGCAAACATTTCCAAAAGAGAACAGGAGGTGTCTTCATTCATTCCGTGTCCTAATTTGGGTCACCGGTGAGCTGGAGCTGATGTGGGTGACACCCTTGACTGGTCGCCGGTCAATCATAAGGCACACATAAACGCTCACATTCACATCTACGGACATTTAAGCGTCTTCGCGATGCCAGTAGGAGGAAAACAAAGCCGCAAAAGCACGATAGGAGAACAAAGTCCAGAGAGGATTCAGTTGACTAGTCGACTGGTTGACTAGTTGATGCATCAACTTTATAGTTTGAAGTTAATTAATGGCCCATCGTGTTTTGGCACTTTGTCGAAATCAACAGGCGGTTGACTGATGCAGCGAAGTGGCATCGATGTCTCAAGCAGAATTTAATAGTATTCAAAGTGTGACCAGTAGCATGGTCGCGTACAAAACATGTAGTCTCAAATATTACAAAAGCACGATGAACTCCAAACTGAAAAGGCAGCGGTGGGTGAAGCCGCTTTGTTGTGAAAACTAACTTTGGCAAACAACTCGTATTTTACACAAGCCTTCATCCCGCAGACGTGCTTCCACTGGCCCTAGCACCGACTCACCCGCCCAATCAAAAATCTCACCTTCACGGTCTCACACAGTAGATATTTACAACTCTTGCCAAAGTAGGCCAGTGGTGACGCTGACATTAAAAAAAAAAAAAAAAGCATATTTAAAGCTATCAGGTATGTGTTTAGTATGCAGGGTGCAGCTTTATTTTCAGCGCAATGAAACTGCTCATTATGACTCTGGATTAAGTATGATTTGCAGTAAATCAGAGAAGCATTAATAAAGCTGGCAAGGTCCCACTCGAGTGGCCAGCTGGTGAAGACCAGATGTTGCCCAGTTCCAGAGGTCTTTTTTTTTTTGCCGGCAGGCTGTTAAATGAGGACATTTCAAAGCCCGTAAAATGACGTCACACTGCCGCAGATAAACGTGCTTTCTCGCGTCTTTTTATGAAACTGAGACTGGTTGTCTGAGCTTCCTCCTTTTGTCTCAGTTATTGATCATCAAACAAATTGTTGCGGTGAGAAGTGGGCTGTACGCAGCAGCACTGAGAGGGGTGGGAAATAAAAAAAAAAAAAGCTCATTATTTCCGAATCATCGTTGGCGTGTCAGTTCCTTTTAGATCAGCTGCAGACTGCCGTCGCAGCGAGACGTCGCCAACGTTAACGTGCAATTGATACACTTTCAGTTTTAAACGAAGTATTTGAAATTTAAGCATGCGGTTCATACGTGACTACATTTAATGGCTTCTACGGGATTCTGTTTTGTCACACATTCAAAATCCAATTTTACGGTTACGGTTTTTGATGGCGTTGAAACCTAAGGGCAATATTTTGTAAGCAGTAAAACGGAGTGTGGCAAAGTCCATACGGCTGCAGTGGGGGCCGATTCCTATTTCATGCTTCTCGTTTTTTCTTTTCGGACTTGTGATCATATATGTCAGGGCGTGTCCAAAGTTTTTGGTTTGAGGGCCACGTACATAAAAATGGAAGGATTGAAAGGGCCACTTTATAATTCCTCAACTTTTTGAAACACGCTTAAAGTTAGGCAAGAAAGCAATAGTTGAAAATAGATTTTTTTTAGGGTGGCCCTCTATCTCACAGAGTAGATCCACATCTGCATTTAACAGCAGCCGAATCCCATCTCCGCATTCAGAACCCCCCAAAAAGGAACAAACTGTAGTAAGGTGACCATTTTTCAGTTACTTGAGGATCATTAATGTGATGTCTGCATAAATCAGCCGTAATGTGGAAGAAACAATTTTTGCCTCTAAGGTGGAATTATTTTTATTCATTACAGTGTTTTGAAGAAAACTTGTATCATTCTTTTAATCATAAGTTTTAGTATCTTTGAATACCGAGAATTGTTTTACAGCATTCAAACTAATTGATTAGAATTTTTCTGACACCCTCTCTTTTCACTCTGCCCGCCTTCTCCATTTTAACTAAACTTGTGGCCCATAACAAAAATCAGTTTTAGTCTTTTTTTTTGTTTGTTTTTTTTTTTGTTTTTTTTTTTGACCATGTCGCGTGCTGCTACCAAATGGATGGCAGGCCGCAAATGGCCCCCGGGCTGTAGTTTGGACACCGCTGTTATATGACAAGTATCTTGCGGACAAAAAAAAATATTACAGTAAGACGACAAAAAATCTGGACACAAGTATTGGGTCATGAGACCAAATGCAAGTGAAAATCGAGGAAAATGTGGTCGCTTCCTTTGCCACTTCAATGGAATCCAAATTGGAAGTTGGTCATGGGAATGATTAATGCGAATGTGTGTGAATTTACATAAATTGACAGGAATAAATTAGACTTTTACTAATTGCAGTCATTATCTTGCATCTATATGAAACAAGGGAAAACATTTTGCAGCATTAACAGCTGGTTGATTCATGTCGAACTAAGTGTTTCGTCTCGATACTTTCGCCCATGCATCCGCACCAAAACTGAGCCTTCCGCTCATCCTGCACCTGCAACACCCCCCCCCCCCCCCCCGTCCTCTTTCTTTGATGAAATTCAAGCTGCTGTGTGAATGAGCGGTGACTGCGTTGCTGCAAAGGCCCAACAGGGAAGGAGGCAGCCAAAATAGGAAGGCGAACGTGGCTCTCAGTAAACACAAGCTGTGCGGCATGTGGGAATCCATCCTAAGCTGCGGTGTTTACACTGCGCTGCGGAGTGCTAAAGACGGCTGGCCGACAAAAGTCGCACGATCGGGAGGAGCGACGGGGGCCGCATCGTGATGCACTTGTGAGAAGGATGATTGTGCTCAGGGGAGGTTACGCACTCCTTAATCATTTTGTCACCGTCTCACCAGCGGCCCGGTTATCAGCTTCCGCAATCTGCCGCTTGAAAGGTGTCGGCCAGCCCCATGAAACAAACGTCGCCGCCCGCCCAAATTGGAGATGATCTTTGCTAACGAGTTCAAACATGACTCTGTTTTGGGAGCGTTATGGAGGTCGAAAAGATTTGATGAAAAGCGATCCTGCTGTTCTCAAATAACATTGAGAGTCAGTTGCAAGTGTGAGCGGATGATTGGACGCCCACCTGAAAGGCAAATATGTAAAGTGAGGCGGGGGAAGCGATGGAAAAAAGGAGAGCTCTTGTACTAGAAATGCTCTATGTCCGTTTTAAAAATACTTGGAACATGTACTTGGCACATTTGGGAGCAGAATGATCTACACGAACGAAATAGGGACGGGCTCAGCATCTAATCACTTTCACAATCATCCAAACTAGTTTGGATTTTTGACCAACACAATTTACAGGCTATTGGTAGAAAGTGGTCGACTGAACTATGCAGAGAGTTGGGGTCACTGTGCCTCATTAGACAACTATATAAAAACATGTTGACACAGTGAGCGTCCTTTGAAGGGGAATAGCTGACTTCTTGGGTTAGCGGGCCTTGGACATGTTCGCATTCCAAGAATCAGAATGGGCATCCTCAATTTTTTTTTTTTTGTTTCCCAAGCATGGACAGTATAAAAATGTTGATTGTGCCAACACACCCCAAAAAAAGTTTCGGCTGTCAATGCGCCTGCAAAGTCTGTAAATAGTTAGTAAAGACCTGCGCAACATATGGAGGAGTTACAACACGCTACGTTGTTTCTTGAATATCATCCTGTTAGCTAAATCGAAATGACAAAAAGATAAACGATCATCAGAGATTGCTGAGGATTACAAGAGATGGCAGATGGGACCGCACCTGTGGGTGACTCGCTTGACGGCACGGCGAGGAGCGACTGAACGCGACCCTTCGAGTCATTCAGACGTTATGATTGAGCAATTTAGTGTCGTTAGCGGCATAGATTGAAATGTACCCGATGATTGAGGATGGTGGATTTACAGATGAGAGACTCCTCCCGCCCACTCTATAATTCAGAACAGATGTGTGCAGCGCGGCTCATCGGTCTTCTGCTGAATGTCAGTTTTGGCGACGGCAAAGCAGTTTTGCCAGAACGAAGCGCTTACCTCTATCGGTGTCGTAGAGGTAGACAAACTTCTCCCACTTGTAATGGTCCAGTAGACTTAAGACGGCTCCTCGCAAGCCGGGCCTCATCTGGATGACAAACTGTGCGTCGGCGTCGATGGGGAAGCTGGGGGTAATGAAGGATGTGTGCAGCGCTCCGCAGAAGGAGGTCAGCGTGTTCATAGACTTCCTGTCGTAGAAGCCGAAGATGGCGTAGACTCCTCGGGAGAACTGAGAGCAGACTGGTGACACAGACAGAGAATGGCGTCACTGCGGGGGCACTCTGGGAGTCAAGAATTCCCTTTACTCACTGGCCGGCGAGGCCTTAACACCATCGGCGGCACTGTCCTTTATTTATTTATTTTTTTATAGTTGTGCCATGGAATTGGACACATTTGTTCATTCCCGACAGTCCGTTCTCTTCATCTTGAATTGTTGCTTTTGGCTGCACTGCTTCCACTATGTGCATATGGATGTTATTTTAATTTAATTACTTTTTTTTTTTAAAGATTTCAGCCATTTGTGTTGCCATGTCAATCTAATCTGCCCGGTGCCTTCAGAATCAGTAGTGCTGGCCCATGGAACTTAAACTATACTCAACTAATCAGATTTCAAATTTGTCCTCTGCTGGTGCTTGATGACATCATCATTTTCCGTCCCCCTTATTGGGTGGTGAGACCGAAACTTGTGACAGCCAAGTTTGACGAGCAAAACACGTCTGTCCCGTTCTGCACATAATAACACATTTATAACACATTTATAACAATAACAATTTTTATCATGTTATAACGAAGAAATCAACAGCGCCACCGCTTGTTGCAGCCTAGTTGCGCCCTCCATTTTGCCTCCAATGATTATTCTTTTCCCGAATAATCAATTCATTGTTTTATCAATGATTATGCCTTACATAGAGCTATGAAGGACTGTGACTGCTGTTCAATGCGCCGTACAGTGCAGTATGTCCTTGAAAGATGAAATGCGCATTTCATCGGCGTTGTGGGTGGGACATCTCTTATCTGGTAGTTGCTGAATTCAGGCCATGTCAGTTCAATACAAAAGAGACAATACTTGAATTGAAGCTGCGGCATTTGCTATGCAGGTCATGATGCAAGTGGAAAATTAAATATCTCTCTGGTCGTAAATCATCCTATTCGACGTGGTGCTAAAGTTTTTGTATAGGCAGTCGTCCCTGTGGGAACAATGCAACTTTGAAGTATCGTCTACAAAGATCCGTGTCATTTTTTTTTTTCCACCTAAAGGAGGTAGAGCTTTTTTTCTTCTTTCTTTTTTGTACCGCTACCCAGAATACTAACTCAGGTTTTATCGACATGATTAATGCCAGGGAGAGGTGCCCTCGTTATGCGAGTTTGTGTGGCGTAATGTTTTTTGGGGGGGGTTTGTCAGGTTCACACCCAGGTTGTGACACTGCCATAAATTCTCTTTTAAATGCGTCAGAGCACTGCGGCAACATATGTGATGACAGATATTTTTGTCTTGTGATGCTCGGAAACATGAAGTTGCCAATAACTTTATGTTTTATGATATGACCATACTCATATCAAAAATGTTCTCCACTCACTGGCCACGGGGACACCTACAAGTCTCCATCCATCGAGGACCGGAGTTGGACACCCCTGCACTAGACTATCATCAAATACATTAAAATGCAATGATACTCCATTTTAATTTTTATATTGGCATGCATTTGTTCAAAATATACATTATGGCGGCTTGCTGTGTTGTGCTCTGTTTGTGGCGTTTGGTTTTAGTTTTGTCATGGTTTTTTTTTTTGCCCCGTAGGACTGGGACACGGCTACAAATAAAGCTCGCTTTTTTTTTTCCATCAAAATATCTTTTAAAAAGTTAGTGAGAGTTAATATACGAGATCTCCGCAGCTGCTTTGAAGCCCGTTTTGCCATTCACTCGGCACGTGCCGTGACGTCATGTCTTACGCAACGACAGCACACGGTACGCTTTATATTTGTACTTGCTTTTTATTTTACTTTGCAAATCAGAACCTTGTTCTGATTAAAGGCGGCATCAATGATCTTTGCTCTTGAATTGGATGTCTTTTGAATATGCGATGAACGCCTCGACTGAATGAGCCGCGCTTGGCGCCCTTCCCTCTTCATCCTCACTTTTTGCTTTGTTTTAGTTCCCGCGACTGCATAAAATGTAGGAGGAAGAAGCAGAAGCTCTGTGGGTGTCTCCCATTTTTTCAGAGACTGGCACTGCAGCCTTGCGGTATCATGTCGGCAGTCGGAGGGGGGACTCATAAAACCGTCTTTATGTCGGCGTGAACCGAGTGTACATGTGAATCTCAGAGCTGAGGTGACATTTATCTGAGCAAGGAGGGGAAGAAAGAGAACACACAGAAGGAATTTATGTCCTTCTCCATAGATAAAGAGGAGAAATGAGAATTATTCCAGGAGGTCTCACGCTGAGATGGTAGGTGAGGTGAGAGGACCGAAAGTGTGATGGCATGCCATCTTGCACACAAAGTGACAAAAAAAAAAAAAAAACAGCTCGGCTTTTTGTGAATATGGAAATTTTACAGCATTGTATTCCCTCGTTGCGCTCAGATAACAATAGCCGACGGTTATGTAACGGGTAGTTAGAACCAAAGAGAAAAACGAACATATCGAGAATATTCCTTCGTGGATATTCCGAAAGCTAACAAGCCTGATATTTCCAAAACATGAGGAGAGCCGAGCGATCGAAATCTTTATCCTCTGGTTGCACTGCTAGTGAAGCACAATGGTAAGTTTGGGTCACCTGTGAGCGATGACTACAGTGATATTTTTTTAATGATTTGGATATGTATTAACATCATTTGTAGAGCGTGATGGCTCCAATTAAGATGCCGTATCTGCCCGCCCTGGTTCGCACAACTCCAACAACACGGCGCAAAAGGTATCAAAAACAAGGCTTGTAATGGACCGAAATACATGTCAGTCATTCGCTCTTTTGAAAACAGAAACTACCGCGATGCTCCCAAGTTGAAAGGGAAAAGCAGCAGCAGCCTTTTTACATTGTTGGCCCGAAGGAGAAGAGAAAGGAGACAGACGGTACTTGTCTTACCTTGTCAGGGTCGGTTAGCGAGGACACACCTGCTGTCCCAAAATGACCTTCTTATAAATGATGGGGTCAAAGAAGACCAGTTCTATTATTATACAACCAGAAGGTCTCACATGAGGCGATGATAAATAATGACATGGATGTTTTTGGGGTTTTTTTTTTTGGTTTTTTTAACTCATTGAATACCACCCCTTTTCACTGGAGCAACCCGCTCAATCCCTCACATTTTACTGAATTTTGACTGATTTGCAAGGCCCACGGAATTTTCTGTTCTATGGCTATATATACATGCAACCTGTCAAAAGAAAGGTGAGACTCTCTTCTTTCAGCAGAAAAAAAAAATTTGTTTCTATCTTTCTCCGTTCGTTGGCAATCAGCATTAGAAAACTGCTAAGTTTTATGGAAAAGGCAGATTTTCTGCAGAAATCCAGAGAAAATGAGCTTTTTGTAAAAGCATGCATTTCAAGTTTTACGCTTTTGTGACAGCTCAAATACCTCAATAATGTGTTCCTCCTACAAAAGAACATTACAAATACTGTTTTTGTAGCAAAATAATTTATTTGCACACAACAAAACTATTGAACTTTGAACAAAAGTGCAAATTGAAAAATGAACGAAAGTGCAGCTGTGGAGAGGATGATTTTTGGCTACCACACTTATTTTTCTATTGTTGCTTTCCACTTACATTTCAACATCTCTCACACACACACACACACACACACATGCTCGCACACTGCTATTTACATCATTCATTCCACGTTGCTCAGCATCCAATTTGAAATGAAATGGAATATGAATTGAACACTAGTGGTTTTAGCAGAGCTGAGCGGACCAAATGTGTCCTGTTTTTTGTTTTGTTTTGTTTTTTTTAAAACCTATGGCAACACGCAAGTCAGCACATTTACGGCGCATATTTTCATCCACATCTACGAGACGCATCAACCGTACATAAATGATAAGTGTTACTGGCAACTTTATAATATATCGGGGAATGTAGCGGTGCATAAAAGTGACTGATGAGGCATAAGTGATGAAGTTTTGAATGGGAACTTGCAAGCTAGTCAGCAGTTACCTCCTCGTTCCAGCGGCTCTGGCGAGAACTCTCAGCTGCTTTCCGTTATGTCCGAAGGCACGTATTCGTCCGACAGATCGGGATCCAAATCGCTCTCCAATTCATCGTTTTCGCCGTCGTCATTACGAGATGATTCCAGCGAATCGCTGACGTGTGCCCGGCGTCGGCCATGCGAAGCAATGCAGCCTCTTTGCCGTCATCGCTGGAAGTCGCCGGGGAGACGATTTGTGGGCAATGTGCGCCACGGGGGGGCACAAAATGCTCTACCAAGCGATGGTCCCTGACGTGGAGCATGTTCATCTTCATCAGATGAGCTCGAAACTCGGCGTGAGCTATGCGGGCCGAGTGTAGCACGCCATGTTTGCGCAGGCTGACGTTCGTTTGACGTGTGCTGCTTTCGATTACGTGACCAAAGCGTCATCTCCTTTGTTGTTTTGTTTCGAGGACGCTTTTATACCGAAAAAAAGAATCATTTTTAGTTAGTTGTTTCCTTTTCTTCATCGTTGCTAGTTGCTAACGTTCCAATCCACTATCCACATACGTCCCTCCTCCACTATACGCCCTTTCTACTACTTCTGCTGCGTGATCCTCGTGGATTTTTGCACCACTGCTACCCGATGGCCATTTTTTTGCTATTTAACATTGCCGTAAAGCCTAATCCTTTGGTGAGAAGTTGCATCAGACTCTCTTGCACCCTCCCCCATGAAAAAACGTGATTGACGTATTAATACGTCATTGGGAGGGAACGGCTATGCGCTAATTGACGTATTTATACGTCAAAGGGTGTAAATGAGTTAAACGCTAACCCAGCGCAGGCTTGTTGGAGCATCTGTTTGGAAAGATTTGTTCTGTGTCCACAATCACTCATGCTTGCCCCATGCTAGCAACACTTTTTCCTCCAGTGCCGCCTATTTCCCACAGATTTTTTTTTCTTTTTTCTTTTTTATGCAGAAGGTTCATTTCCAGTCTGCTTTTATCGCCTGATGTCCTGATACCAGATCTGTACACGGTCTACATGGTGGCTGCTGCACACTGCTCCTCATGGATGGGTTGCACATGTTGTGTCAAAAAGTCAGCGGTGTTGTATGTGGACTCTGTCACCAATTCTGCATCCCAACCTTTAAGAACAGAATTTGTAGTGTGGAGTTGAGGGGTTCGAAATTGTTTGCCTCCCCAATCGGCTTCATATGGGCGTGATCTTTGACTCTTGAGCCAAGTGTGAAGCCGTTGGGGGGATGAGAATCAGCACCTCCAAATTTGAAACCTTAGTCTCCAGTGGGAAAAAGATGGAAGACCCTTTCCGGGTCAGGTATGAGATTAACTGGAGGAGTTCAAGTATCTTGGGGTCCGGTTCATGAGTGAGGGAAGAAAAAGAACAGAATATCAACAAGCGGATCAGTCAGGTAAACTCCCAGCAGTCTCACCCTCACCGATGCTCTGTCTAGTGACGGACAGAGACAAGATCACGGATACAAGTTGCCCTGATGAGCCACAATCCTTTCAAGAGGCTGTGAGAGCTCGCTCATCCGGGAGGAACTCAGAATAGAAGCGCTGCTCGTCTGAGCATCTGGTTAGGATGCCTCCTGAAACCTCCTAACCGGATCTTCCCTGATAAGGCGTTCTAGGCACGTCTAACCTGGAAGACTCAGGACACACCGGAGAAACTATATCTCTCGGCTGGGATCGGCTCATATTCATATCAAGGAGCTGGACAAAAGAAGTCTTTCCAAAACATTGACTTGCAGCGTAATTTACCCAACGCCGAGCTGGGATCCGAGAAAAATAACTCGATGAAGCCACGTGACCGAAAGAAATCTACAGCAACGCCACAGAAGCGAGACCTGTGGCTATTAGAGGCGGCTTGCAGGGGGAGAGTACACTTTATTATTTCGCCGCAGCAAAGTGTCAAGCCCGCTGACGCTCCACCTACGCCGACTTTCCATGCACGGCAATACAATTACCCAAGGACCACTACAACAGGAGGCAGAGGAATAAGGCTGCAAAGTGCTGTTTAGGCTCTACAGAAGACACTTGAAAAAAGGAACATGGAAATGTGCAAATTAATATTCGCAGAGAATCTGCATGAAAAACCGCTTCGTGTGTATTAAATTAGCATTGATTTAAGAAATGAAGAGCACTCTGAGAGGACATGCTTCTGCCAAAACAATGTATCGCTTGCAAAAATGGGTGCATAAACACAGTTCCATACTGTAAGAGTAAGAAAGCTTCATTGGCTAAATAGAGGAGCCGAAGGAACCAAATGCAACGTGATTTGCACAAAAACAAAAATAACAACCGACGATGGCTTTGATGGTCTCCAAACTACTTTCTGTGCTGACTATTGAAAAATAAATGACTCAATAAAATCTGTGAGCAAATACGTCCTCACTGCTGGATTGAATAGAGATTTTCTTTTTTTTTTTAAAATTTAAAGCCAATTAAAAAAAAAAATCCACTCATTAAAGCTGCATGGAAACCGTATGTAAATGCTTTCAAATTGAATCCCTGAGTCACGAATCTCGTGGCATCATTTGTGTTTTTTTTCCCCCCGTGTCCTTGAATAATCTCAGGTGGCAATGAGACGAGAGGAACCGAAAGCAGCCCTTTTCTGAGGCCGACACGGTGCCGCAACAATGTTGCCGCAGCGTCACTGTAGTGCGACTTGTCACAAGTCATCACTGTTGCTCTGCTGCAGTGCTGACATGTCAGCGCATTCGGATGCACGGCATGAGAGATGAACACATCCAGCGGCTTGGTCCCAAACCCATTTGGCCAAAGCAAAATGCATTTTACAGCACGATGTCCGGGCCGCATGTTTTGCAAGTGTGCTGACTGAGTAGCACATGAAATGCTTTTTGGATCGGTTTTTGCACTTGAATGGAACTGTAGCATCAATCAAGTGAGATTCCACAACTTGGCCGGTGGCATTTATTGAGCGGGCAGCATGGCCTTCATTTGAAGGGAGCCGGGGTCATTTCAGCTGCCATGTTGACCCCGCGAGAGTTGCCCGATAACAACACACCATCGCGGCGCATCTCTTTGCACGCTCGTGAGCGTCTCATTTTGAAATATGGATGCAAATCTCAACTCTGATGAAACTGAAAGACTGTATATTCTTAACATGTTTGGAATCAGGCGGGGGGGAGGGGCTCTTTTCTTGGGGCAAGTCATCCAAGTTGACAGGATTCTAGTTGTGGTAGCGCAGATATTTTTAACCAGGCATGATGATAAAAGTGCATGCTTATGGGTAAGTCTTTCTCCTCTTCAAGGGCTCCCGGACCCAGATGAGCCAAATAAGGGTGAAGTCGGGCTCAACAAAGAATCGAATTCAAATCAACATCGCAATGTTGTAGAACACAATTTTCTGATTGCAATGGCTGCGATTATGGCCAAAAAAAAAAAAAAACTGCTCAATTTTCATCATTTTTACATTTTATGTTTGTATAGGGGCGGCCCGGTAGACGAGTGGTTAGCACGTTGGCTTCACAGTGCAGAGGTACCGGGTTCAATTCCAGCTCCAGCCTTCCTGTGTGGAGTTTGCATGTTCTCCCCGTGCTTGCGTGGGTTTTCTGCGAACCCATTCCGGTTCCCTCCCACATTCCAAAAACATGCATGGCAGGCTGATTGAACACTCAAAATTGTCCCTAGGTGTGAGTGTGGGCGCGCATGGTTGTTCGTTTCTGTGTGCCCTGCGATTGGCTGGCAACCGGTTCAGGGTGTCCCCCGCCTACTGCCCGAAGACGGCTGGGATAGGCTCCAGCGACCCTGGTGAGGATCAAGCGGTTCGGGAAATGAATGAATGAATGTTTGTATGGTGGTGGTCGGGTGGTTATCGCGTCGACCTCACAGTGCAGAGGTACCGGGTTCAATTTCGGCATCCTTGTGTGGAGTTTGCATGTTCCCCCCGTGCCTGCGTGGGTTTTCTCCGGGTACTCCGGTTTCCTCTCACATTACAAAAACATGCATGGCGGGTTAATGGATTACTCTAAATTGTCCCTAGGTGTGAGTGCGAGCGCGGATGATTGTTTGTCTCTATGTGCCCTGCGGTGGGCTGGCAACCGGTTCAGGGTGTCCCCCGCCTACTGCCCGAAGACTGCTGGGATAGGCTCCAGTACCCCCCGCGACCATTGTGAGGATGAAACGGATCAGAAAATGGATGGAAGTTAAAAGACTGAATGATTTTTGTCCAATCAAATGCTTGGTCAAGATATAGTGCTGTGCAAACACTGTTTGAGTACTTTTCATCAACCTCCACGTGACTCCCCTGAATAACAATGCGTTGTTATTGAATGCATTTTCGAATCCTTTTCATCATCCAAAAATTGTTCTCTCTTGCTCACTTGTTTTAATCGCAGTATGCCCTAGTTGTGAAGGCGACCCAGCGATTTGGACGCGTCCCTCGTTGACGTCCGCTTTATGCACAACAATTTTATCCTGCTTTGGTGCTAAATGTCTTCGGAATATATCCTGCTCCCTCGCTCCAGCCGCAATGTGATACACAAGTTCTCTAGCATCAATCCAGTCAGATATCAGTGACAGGTTTCTATTTTCTGTTATATATTGCCATTTCAGATCCATTTATTTCGTGTGTTAATCTTTTTTTTTTTTTTTTTTTTAAACAATGTACGCAACATCACAATGACAATGCTGGATCTGTGACCACGGTGGGGATTGATTTTTCCACTAGGGAGCAAACTGGAAGCGGGCACACACACGCACACAACCAGATGCGCAACACGGAATGCAGCCCTCCATCTATCGATCTCAAAATGCCAATAACACACATTCGCCATGAGGGATTGTTAACAGTTATCATCAAGTGACGCCGGCTAAAGGACGGCGTCGGGCTTTATTCCATTTTTCAATCAAAGCACGCCGTCGCCACTCTCGTTGACACCGCTCATCATAACTCATTTCACGGCATTAGAAAAGAGCAAGATTTGCAGATGACACACACACGTTGAGAAGAACTCAGCCGATTTTGGCTTCTCAGTCATCTTGGCACGTTATTCTGAAAAAAGGGCGACGTGAGCCGTGGCACAGCTCAGGAATGACTAACCTATCACTCTGGGCAGAATAGAAATGTGTCAAAAGAATCAGCACTTTCACTCGCTGCGTAAACACCCGGCAGGCAAGCAGGACATTATGCAACCCAGATGACTAACATAAGAAATAGATTGAGTTTGGTGCATTTGTCAAAGTGTCTGACTGGTGTACATGATTAACTCCTCAAATTGGCAAATTGTCTCTGTTAAGCTTGGCTTTCCTTCTCTCGCTACTATTAATCCTTCTGATTAGGTTGTCATTATTTTTGAATTACGAGACAGATGAAAAAGCATCCCGCCGACTAGATTTGCCCAAAATGCGTGGCCAAGCAGAGACGTTCGCTTTCTTCAACTCTCTAGGGTTATTGTAGTCATTTATAGAAATTCAATTCAATTTGTAGCTTCATTGGATGCTCCACCAAGTAAAATCCCGTGATTTCCTGCAGCCCAAAAATGGAAGGTAACATTTTAGGTGAGGGCCTCGTCAAGTCTGCCAATATTGTCAGTAAGTCTTCACACGTGAGGTGTAGAATGAAAAGTAAAGACTTTGTTTTGCAAACTCTGAGAGCTGTTTTGCGATTGATAGTCATAATTTTGGAAATTCGGAAAAATAAAAAAAATAAAAACTGTCACCAGACCACTTGAAACCACCTGAAACGTAAAAGCTGGATGCAAAAAAAAAAAAAACCAAAAAACAAAACTCCATCCCAAAGCCAGCGGCCTGCTTCCTATTCGGCGTGTGTGACTACTCACAGGCGTGTGTGACGGAAAAGCTGTTGGAGGACTCCAGGTTGTCGACATTATAGTTGAGGTGGAAAGGTTTCTCCGTCGCGTTCTGGTTCGTGTTGTACAGCTGCACTGCAAACCTGAAGGCGCTGTGCTCCTGGACTGTGGAGCGCATGAAGAGTCCACCTATGAGCAAGGAACAAGTCACATGGGGCAATCCTGGCACACGTGACGAATTCAAATTCAAACTTAAGAATGCCTTGCAGAATGTTATTACATAAGACTTATTTGCATATAGAGTTGGACGTGCTCCACGCTAATAGTGCAGAGCATTAACTTTTTTCCATCGTTTATTTACTTGCATTTAAACCTAGTGCACCATTTTTTTTTTTTTTGTCCATACTTGAATTTCCCCTCTGTGGGATGATAAAGGCATTTTTGTGGCCTGGCTCAATGCCTGAAGTCTGCAGGTTTGAAATGGGTTGTGGGAAACAGAACCTACAGTTGACCATTTGCAAATGTGTTGGCATGGAAGTGCCGAGTGGATGTGCGCTTGGGGATTTTGTGTGTCGTCTGGAACGCATGGAAAATGAGAAGATAAGAGGACAAGAGTGTTTTATAGTTTTGAGTATTGTTTTTAAGCATTGACACGATTGCTGTTGTGCAAAAAGAGGTTATATTGGACAGTACTAAAACTAAAAAAAAATCTGTGAAAATACAAATCCATGGGTAGCAAACTGTAAATATGCAGGGGTCGACTGTTGTTTTAAGTTGTAATATGACCATTGACCTACTAGATGGCAGACATGTCTTAGTTGTGCTTACATTGGGTCTTTCACTGCCCTATACTGCAACTTTGGTTCAACTTTTTGCAGATTTGGGTTGAAATGCAGAACAAACGGTACCTCGATCATGTTAAAGTTTTGAGTGAGTTGATTTTTGTTGCTCTTCATGTTTTTTTTTTTTTGTTTGTTTGTTTTTTTGTCCAGCAGTTTTGTTCCTTCCTTGAATGCTAATTTTGATGCAAGACAGGCCTTTGCACTGGAAAAAAATAGGATAGTGGATCTTTCATACGTACATAGAAAAATGTTTTTAATCGAATAAATATAAATTATTATTATTATTATTATTATTATATTAATTATTATTATTATTATAAAAATATAATTAAGAGCATGTATTTTGCACCAATGCGGAGATTTTTTAAAAATTTCAATTAGCATTTTTGTTGTATATCCGGTTAGGATGTGCATGGTCCTATGTGCCCCCCTCCCAGTAGCAATGCTGAAAAATTATAGCGCACTCCAGTATTCAACTTGTCCCTTGCTATTCTATGCCATCCTCAGAGCCAATAGGATGTTATACATTTCAGCGTTGCATAGTATACACCTCGGTTCAAATTCGGGTTCGGGCCTTCCGATCTGTTGATATTGGTCTTATTCAGTGCAATGACAAGAAAAATTCTAATAAGGAGATGGAACGCATGGTTCGGATTAAGACTATGTGCTCATGCAGCGACCAGTCCAGTGTAGACCTCACCTCTCGCCCAAAGTCCGCTATGAGATCCGTTCCACCTCACCCAACTCCCTAATGTGGACCAAAACTGCTTTGTGCTCTTCTATTTTGTACTAACCATGCTTGAAATCCCAGTTCGTGTCTTTCTTTGGGGTTATCGTTCTGTAACAGCATCACCCAGCATTCACATGCAGTTTCTGAGATAAATGTTTCTTCAAGGTATTCGGCAAGCACGATCGCACACTTTCAAGTGAACTTGCGGATTGCGCATACGTAATCAATACATTTTTGATGCAGAGTGTCCTATTTCGCCCGTGGACAAAAGAAGGCGTCGCAGTGAACTTACCGATGTTGATTTGATTCGGAAAGCCGGCCATCGAGTCTCCGCACAACCAAAGTATCACCACTATGCCCGGCCACATTTTTCTATCCGTGAAGTGAGACGAACTCCTGGCGACGGAGGAGACAAGCGCACCATGTACGCGAGGTCGCTCGTGATTTAAAAAAAAATAAATAAAATCCACAAGATGTGCGTGATGGGGCTGCTGTGCGCACACACCCACGAAGAATGTGCGCCCGCGCCAATGCGTCCTGCGAACCTGCTAAACCATCAGACGGCGTATTGTTGACACACACACACAAAAAAGGTGCAGGTGCTGATGAATGAGGAGGAGCAGGAGGAAAAAGGCACGGCGAGCTTCGGTTTTGTGGACGAGGAGCGCACAAATGGACCACTGTGGCACAGGGAGAAAGAAACACAGAGAGAGAGAGAGAGAGAGAGGGGGGGGGGGGGGGGGGGGGGCGTTCGAACTTGTCTCTCTCTGTCAGCGTTGAATTTCAGCCTCGGTCGCTGCGGTGTGTTTGTGCACGCGCGTGTGTATATGCTTGCGCGCGCGCGCTTCAGTTGACTGTCTTCCAAACCAGTGCTCATAAGCCTTTTTTTTTTTTTTTTTTTTTACATTCGAAAAATCTCCTCGGACATCACTAAAGAAAAATTGAATCGAGGCCATCACCTGCTCAGCGTATATTTCTTTCTTCAACTCAAAATCTGATAATACACACGTTTAACTTATAAAGATGCTTTTTGTAATTGTAATGAAACTCCTGCTTTGAGTAACAGGACTTCAGATTTTAGTGTAAAATGAAATCTTGAACACAGGACAGCGATTCACCAAAATTGTGTTGTCAAAATAAATAACATGTAAAAGCTAATTATGTAACAGGGAAAGAACAATAAACGTGTGAATTTACTTTTGACCTGCAATCGATCTAAATTCATTAATGCATTTGATTTTCCAGGTACCCAAACGGCACACAGTTTGGCTAATTTGGAAAGTAACCATCCCGGCCCCGAGTATCTCCACCCGTGACTTGCCACCTGGGCCAGAGGACGATTGGAATCACAATAAGGATCATCTTTTGTGGCCAAGTATGTATCCAAAACACACACGGAATTTGTCTCCGATAGTTGGAGCCATTCGATTACTACAGCAAATCAACGCCTTGGGAAAAACAAACATACATTTAGGACAAACACTAAAGTCCATCGAGTCATGAAACGATATAAAGTGACCCATAGTGAGGTAGTACTGATACGACATGTGCAAATGATGCAGAGTCATCAAGCAATGGTCAAATCCACCACTTTCCATCTGCGACTGGGCCACATTGTCTCAAACACTAACATGTCAATGCCAAAAGATAAGCAGAGCTGCCATGGGTTTTGTTGGATTAGCAATAGCTTCTCATAACCGGCATATACTGCTTGATGTGTGGGCTACTGTGACCCGCCCCCATCCCATCCCCCACTGCGCCTATTCACGGTTCACCATTCACAAATTCTCCTATTCACCCTTTTCCTGAGGATTCAAAGTTCAGGTATTCACTGTAAAAATTATTCGATTCAAACTTTTGGCCCCTTTTTTCCCTGTTTCTGTGACATTATGAGATACCGCTAGGCTCTGCCAATGAATAACTTTATTTTTTTTATTTCTTCTCCCTAATATCCCTGGCGGTGCCTCTGTCTCCCTGATGTGTGGTGTGGGATTGTAAAATTTAACTGCCCTCTTGATTGAAAGAGACCATTGCTTAGCGCTGCCTGGAAATGTATATTTGCACACAAAAAAAACAGAGAGAGCGAAAATAGATCTTTGAGAAAAGTGGCTTTTATACCATTCCTAAATAATGCATTTTCATTATAGAATGTAAATCAGAGCAACTCAATTCATCTGTGCTGTAATGGATGTGATTTCATTTTACGCTCTTGTTCTATAATTCAGAGCGCTTTGTTCACTTATTGCTGATACTGATTGTGCGGGAGATTCCATTAGATTAAGAGTGTAATACAATATCAATTGCACCCAGAGTGTGATTTGTTGGGAAAGGCATCGCGGGTGACTAGTTGAAAAAATAAAATAGAAGATATAGAATGAAGATTTAGGGAGAAAGAAAAGACAACCTCTACTTGCAAGTTGAGTCATTTAGAGTTCACCGAACTCAAACACCAAATTGTGGCATGAAATTACTTTGAAACGTGCAGCCAGCAAATGAATCGGTAGGATCCAAATTGAACAACTTTGCATGGAATTTGAAGTTTCAAAAAAAGATGGTCTTCGTGAGGCATTAGCCATATGGTGGGTGCACTTCGGGCAGCTCATGAACACATTATAATGGTAAAAAAAAAAAAAAGATCATAAATGCTGCGTTTTCTGTTCTCGTTTTCCCCCACTACTGTATTTAAATTAGACAAACATTTCACAACACGACATGAGACCGAGGCGCTGTTTAATTCCTGTCAACCACTTGCCAATAGCCATTTATCAGAGCCTGTGAACTTAGCCTCCTTTTTTTATATACAGCGATTGCTTGCTATAATCCACAGAATTACACAAGTTGTGAGCCCGAGGGAGCGGAGTGGCCTAAATACACGCAGATCCAGTATTACATGTAGCACACTTTAACAGAGAGAACGTACCATCCCACTCGTCAGTTACTCCCAATAATCAAGTCGACAAAAGGACAGCCGATTTGTACTCACTGATCACTATTACCGTCACGTGTTCAAACCGACAGCGGACTCTAACAATGTGGTTTTAATTCTGTCATACTGTATTGCGATCACGTACAGTAGAGTCAATGAATGAAAAGTCTGATGAATTTTTAGGGGCCAAGCTCCCATCTCATGGTTGAGAGTTAAAACCTGTGAAACAGGCGGATGGATCTTGCAGCTTCGTATCCAGGGTGTCTCTCCATTTCAAATTTAAGATGACATCGGAGCCAAAAGCCTGCTGGGAAACATGCCCATTGCGCGCGGCTTCATTTTGCAAGGGTGGCTAACATACATAAACGCAGCTTGGTACTTGGTAATTAAAGATGAGAAATACGATTGTCAACGGAATCTGGAAACAAACAGCACGTTGCACATCTTTTTGCCGGTATTGATTTCAAATCAGGGATTGGGGGAGTGGGGGAGGTATAAAACGTGATTGGAGTGTGTATGTAGTACAGGATGCTCAGCAGACCGCTCTGAAGCTCACTTTGCTGTTATTTTGCAACCTGCATGAAGCCACTAAAAAGAACAGGCAACCTGAGGGAATGCTGATTAACACGTATTAATAATAAAGTCCCGTGGTAAAATTAATGGTCGGGGGTAATGGACAGCACCATTGTGGTGTAACAAAGGGGGTTTTATCACCAAAACGTTAAAGTAATAATGCCTGTGACAATTCTGAGATGATAGGATATTGTACCTCGCCGTCCGAAACTCACCAAGAAGGTCAGCAGATTGAAAGAAAGAAAATGTTGAGGGCTATGAAAAGAAGAAAAAAAAATCTACCATGACACCTTCCCTGTTTCTTCTTGTAGTTGCGGCTCGCTATAAAGTTTTTGGGCTGAGTTTCTCGATACGCCTCATGTGAAATTACAGGCCCTCGCTTTACTGCTTTTCAATTAACTTGACTGTATTCACATTTTATTTGATGGCTTCTTTTAATATGAGGAGCTTATCTTAACATTCATACGCACTTTTCTAAAGCATTGTTGACCAAAAGCAACTTTTAGCCTAACTTGGCGCAGCACAAGGACAAATTACTTTGGAGTAGGTCAGACGTTTAGACAACACATAAGAATCTAGAACACAGGTGTCTAACTCAAGGCTCGGGGGCCAGATCCGGCCCACGGCATCAGTTTATGTGCCCCCCCCCCAAAAGAAAATCATCTGTGTCAACTTGTATGATCCTTGCTAAAAAAATGTACAGAAATGTCAAATTGTCGTGTGTAATAAATGATGTTGAGATTTTGAAATCATTTTGTTACCCTTACAAGTAATAATGCGATCATGCGATGAAACATTTTTGTGGTTTTGCTGCCATAACGGCCCTCCGAGGGAAGATGTAACTCGAAAGTGGCCCGCGACACAAATGAGTTTGACACCCGTGATCTAGAAGTTACTGAATTGTGAACTTGAGCTTTAATTTAGAATTTTGACCCTCTCATTTGTTTTCCTCAGTAGAATGAGCACATTTGAACTCGAGGTATCTTTTGCTTCAATACCTGATGTGATCGCAGCGCATCTGGGCCGAAAGAAGCATCTCACGTGTGACACCCTGATGCGTCCGCGAAGTGACGCATGCTAATTAAAGCCAATGAAGTGCGTAAAACGTCATTAAATATTGAATCCACCCACGCCAATTAACGTGGCTAAATTATCAGCTAGCAGGGATAGCGGTATCACTTAATATGGAAGATATGTTTTAAGTGCAATCACATCACACCATCCAACATCTTGACTATTTTTCATCGTATCTCTTCAGATAAGGGTCGGTTTACAACAAGGAGACATAAGAAGTAAAAATATGCTAATAGCTCTACTATTGAGACAAAAGACCATAAAAACTCAGTTTCTACCACTTATCCTGTTCGGGTTCAAGGGTGCATTACAGTACTTCAGTACCTCACTAAGTAATCATTCTTTATGCCGGTATTTGCTTTGAAAGGATTCACAAGCACCACCAAGAATGACTAAATAGCATAAAGTTCAACTCCACTTGGTTCTTGAACAATTCATAAATGAACTATAATCATCATCCAAAAAGATGACTCATGATGAGGACTGAATCAAGATGACCTTTGAGAGATAAACTTTGAGGAGGAATAGCACTTATTGTGGCGTTTGTAGAAAATGATGTCATTCCAGGCAGGCAACTGCTTCAAAAGGAATGGATAATATTAATCGTCCAGTCTCGTCAAACAAATTCAATTGTTCAATGCTGTATTTTTCTGTGTGTTACTGATTTCTTGTCACCTCTTCATTTTGCTCTGTCTTTTAATTTATGGTCCTTCCTCAATTATATGTCACCTTTCATCTCTTACCCAATATGTGTTTCCTAAAAACTTCCTGTGTCAAAAAGATTTTTATTTTAAACACTACTGGCATCCGTAACTGTAAAAGCTACAATTGCATTCCAAAAACAACAACAAAAAAAAAACGTACTGCATGTACACAAAGGGGTACCTGTTAAAGCCAAGAAGTAGGTTGTCCACCCGATCGCTTAATATACTATCAATGAAATTGAAATCAAACATTCTGGTAATTGTTTGGCCAACGGGCCAATGAGGTGCGACAGTACAAAGTAATCTTGATGAAAATACATGCAGGCCGAAGCCTCACCTTGTTACAGAGTGAATCTCCCTCCAAGCAGAGTTAAACTGTTATTGATTTTCATGACCAGCTTTCTGTTTTCGTCATTATTG